CAATGTCTGGTTTATGTAGATATTACTGCTTGTTTGTTTTGTTCAAGCCAAGTCAGAGCACGGTGACATCCATCTCAGCTGCTCTGTGTCAGTCTCATGCAAAGAAATTGTTAAAATATTAGATGTATTATTTTGTGTAGTAGTATTGTATAACTTGCTAAAAAGAATAAAACTGACCTTTTTTCTGTGGTTAGATGGAAATGGTGACCTGACCCATGTTTAATGTACCTAAAGGTCAAGTGAGAAACTTTTGTTTTAAGTTGGGGCTCAGGAGAAAATGGCATTGCTTCATCAGTTCTTAAATGCAAAGGACATTTACTTAAATATTGTTCAAAGTATCTGTACTGAAGTATTTCCATTTCATAACACTTGCACAATGTGCAATACACCGGCTTCTTCCGTCAGTCTTGTAATAATCTAAACTACAATCTTTAAAGGTCACTACTATGACTCATTTCACTTCTGTCAGTCACATACTGTGGGCATACATTTACTTTGTCTATATTGTATTATAAAAAGGTACATACTTTGGCTCTTATTATATTTCTATTTTAACTTTAAATGTTTACTTATATGCATATACATATATATACACACACGTTCTGTAATAATAATAATTTTGAGGTTTGGACTGTTGACAAAACAAGATCAAAATAAGCACTCACTTTGAGCTCTGGGTAATTCTGACAAGTATTTCTAACTATTTTCTTACTTTCTTACTTTGTCTGAAATTAACTTTTTGACTCACTGGCCCAGGAAGTGACTGGGAGACAGTCCAGTTGAGGACATACAGTACCGTTACCCTGTCTACTCTGTAGTTTCACCTGACAGAGGAAAGCAGAAGGACAGGTGGAATTATTGAGTCAAAAGTTCATCAATTTTCCATCTGCTTTCCTGTCAGCAGTCACCCCCTGAAAAGCATACGAGGACAACTTATATCACAGGTTCACATGAGTACAGAAGAGGAATTTCCATCCTCTGCTCCACAGATGCTAGAACACCATCCAAACATTTGTGTATCATTGCAGGTGTCGACTATACTATACCACTGAGCCAAATAAGAGAAATGCATGCGTTGTCCAGGTGCTCCAAAAAGTACATTGAGTCCAAATGATTTATATACAGTGAAGTGGAGTTATCTGAACATTACACACACACAAGCAACTGTGCAGCAACTGACTGAGCCAAACAACAGTCAACCTCTTCCAACAGAGAGGACAACATCTCTGTAGAGATTCATTTAGCAACAGATAAGACATGTGCAAGAGTGTGTCATCTGTTCCACTCAGCAGTAGTCCATTTGAGTGTTGGAAAGAGAGTGCAAATGTTTATCCCATGCCTGCTTCACTGTCAAAGCCTGTAAACATCACTCGTTTCAGTACAACAACAATTAAACAACATGTGCTGCTTGTCATGCACTCAACAACGACACAGATCGGTCTTTTCTATCGCCTCTGTCGACAGAACGCCATAATTTGTCAGCGAAAGATTATGTTTAAGAGTTGCTGATTCAGCTTTTTATTTTGGAGGCCATGAGCGACGTTTCTGATATTAAGCCCATCCTAGACAAATTATTAGAAAACCTGTGTTAATATAACACAATACAGTTCAACAGCATCACAAACTACAGCTTCACAAATTACCGTGAAGTTGAATCAAACACCTCTCTGAAATAGTTTAAACAAAGAATGAATATTATAACCTTTTAAAGGTAGTTTGAGGATGTGTATGTTACGTCACCATTAACTTTCAGCCCATAAAAGTCTCTAACAGCAAAGTATCATATTGTAGGAGGTGCACCACACAGCCAAAAAACAATGAGCTCACACAATACAAGAGGTTACATCAGAATTAATTTAAAAAAACTAAAAAACACTGTAATATGGCAAATTGCAAAATGATAAAACAGCATAATAATGAAGTACTGTACTGAAGAGATACCCTGGGCTACAAATCTCCTTCTCCTGATATAAGACACCAGTACAGACACCAAAAAATGTCACATTTTACATATTTTCATAGTTTCTTCAGCTAAAATCATCATATCACAATCGCAATATCTGTCAAAATAACCACAATATGATGTTTTTACTGTATAATGCAACCCTATATTCTATGCAGCCAAATGGCCTGGAACCACAAAATGACTTAACAATTATTTAAAGTAGTTGCCAATTAATTTTCTGTCAATCAACTAATTGATTAATCAACTAATGCTAATCTCTCAGCTGTACTTGGAACAAAACAGCATGTTTTATAGGCTCTTGATGTTTTATATGCAAAACAAAAAAAGCTCGGTTTAGAGTAAGCTAAGTTAGCTAAAGCTGTCAAACAATTGCAGTAAAAAGTACAATATTTAAAGACTCAGGTAAAATACAAGTACCACAAATTAAGCACAAGAACTAGTTAGCTTAGTTAACTACAATCCACCACTGACCAGCAGCCGACCAACGGTCACAGAGCGTAAGACTGGCAGTTAAGGTCATCATCCGAGCTGTCGTCCAGGCAACCGTTGGTCGGTTGGTCGGTTGGTGGGCGGTTACACATCCTTCTGGTGGGTATAACGTCCATCAACAGGTAAAACTTCAGGCTTATATATAGCGTGCCATTAACGAGGGTGTGTTAGATTTAAGTTGCGGCTTGTGCCGTATGTAAGTGAGAGTAACACCGCACTGCGTTTTTTTAAAATTAATTCAATTTCAAATGTACAAATATTGCAATACGGTGAAAAAAAATGATAATTTTGACCAACGATAATGAATAATTAATTAATTTTACAGATATTTTATATTTTTTTTATGCAGTTGTGGAAAGTAACTAAGTAACTAACTTTTTTTACTCTACTACATTTATTTCACAGATTTAGTCACTACTCACATAAAGCTGCAGTAGTTAACTTATATTTTTTTAAAAGAACCCTTTCTTTTTCGGCTCTGATTGGCTGTTGTCATTCGGGCCCGTTGGATTCCTACAGACGCCATTAGGGGCACTAAAATAAACTAGAGGAACCTGATTTTTTCACAGATTATCTGTCTCATGTTCTACTATCAGGATATAGTTAAAGTTTTAGAAAATATCACAACAAATATTTTTATAAAAATTACCTGTTGCAGCTTTAATAATTTACCAACATATGATCAGTTTATAAAAATATAATATTAAATTGCTGCTTGTGATCATATTCTGCCTAACAAGTACTTTTACTGTACTCATATGTACATTTTGCTGTCGTATTGCTACCTTTAAGTAAACAATAAGAGTATTTATTCCACCATCTTTACATATAAAATATTTTTTTACCATTAATTTTTTTAAGGTATTTTCTGTAACTACTTATTTTGTCCTTTTCTAGTGTATTTCTGAGTAGAATAAGAAGAAAAAGCACCAATATCACACTATTAAAACTCTTTAATACAAGTAAAAACTGCAATAAGAATCATACTTAAGTAAAAGCTTTAAAAGTAAATTGTTATGAAGGAAAACACCCTCTGTGAGTCATTTTTATCATATATTATATAACTGGATTATTAATAATGTCATATGTCAGATGACAGGGTTTTTGCTGTCGTCAGAAGAATAAAGGGGTATGAGTAAAACATATCCTCCATTAGTCACCCGACCACATCCTGCAAAGGTAACAACTATTGTGTCACTTCACTTCCTCCAAACTCCTCTGCACTCACCCACAAAACATGTCTTATACAACTTGTCCTGCAAGCAGCTCTATTGAAGTTGAAGGAAACAAATTAAGACTTTCTTTCTGAATTAGCATCTCGTACAATGCACGGTGTTGTTCTCAAGGGGCAAACTGTCCAATTTATTCTTTTTTATAAAGACTTCCCAGCAGCTCACTCCCAGTAATAGAATATATCTGTGCTTGATTTTTCTTGAAAAATGCAGATTTAAATTGCATTTCTTTTTTAAAAAGAACAATGATCCCGGTTTTCCTTGGTTTTTATTTTTAATATATTGTATAACTACATTCACAGAACTTTTGCCATTTATTTAAGGGACCCATAGTGCCCTCTAGCGAGCAGTGGTGGCAAGTAGCGTAACTCCATTACTGTGCTTTAGAACACTTGTGAGGTATTTTACTCAGGTTTCATTTAAATAATTTATAATATAATATTTAAGCCCAAAGAGGTAGAAAGATCCACAAAAGATTGGAGAAAAGTCCAAAAAATGTGTAAAAATGTGCAGTTTTTCCTTCTTTCCTCTCCCATTAATTATCTCCTAACCCCAGAATCATTTTTCCATCTATAGTAACAATAATAATACATTTTATTCATAAAGCACCTTTAAAAACATGGTTATAAGTGCTTAACAGCAAAATAAAACAGAATCCAATTTTTAAAAAGCATTAAAAAGAACCTAAAAGTAAAAATGAAGCATATGATAAGATATATATAAAAAATAAAACAATATTAGATTATAAAAAAGTGCATTTTTTTTAAGCTTTTAAGGCCTGTGGTTGTCAATCTAGATCTTGTAATCTGTAAAAAACCCACCGGAGGCTCATATGGAATTAACTAATATCTGATATACTCAATATTAGTTAAAACTAGCTTCAACTTGACCAGCTACAGCAGTAAAATGTTGTTTTCACACTGTCGTATCCGTATTAATCTAATAATCAGAGGCACTTTCTCTGCATAATGAGAACTTTTCTTACTTCAAGTACATTTTGCTGATAATACGTCTGTTCTTCCCTTGAATGCAGAGCTTGTAATGTATTTTTAGATTGTTGCAGAGGTGGAAAAAAGACTAGAAAGTACTGATTCAACTCCTTTACGCAAGTTAAAAAATGAAAAACTACAAGCTCTGAAAGTATAAAAGTAAAAAAGTAGGAAATTTCTACCGGCTGTTTCTGTCTTCCTCATCTGTTATGTGTGATATCCACCGTAAAGAGCCTGTTTTAAATAGTGTAAGGTGTATATAAAGTGCAGATATTTGTGTAGAAATGTAGAGAGTAACATTAAAAAAGGACTCTAAAATAACCAAAAGCAGAAACCAGCTACTTTATTACATACTGCATGTCCTTTTCAGCATAAATACATCAATTATCAACATCAGAATATATATGGCTCTGATTTCAAGGTACGTAAATCACTCAACAAAATACCCTGTTTTTGACAAACAACCAGTACAAAGTGCACAAATAAAGTTGGTTCAAGTCGACTGCATCACATTACTGAACTGCTGTTGTGTTTCTTAAGAAGAAAAAAACCAAAATGAATTAAAGCTTACATTCAAAACAACCTTGGGAGGGTCTGTAATTGTCATGGGACAGTATTAATTATCTCTGGTCCTCACAGACGTAGTGACCAATGCATCGTATTAAAATGGCACACACGCACACATATACACACACACGCAACTTAATTATAAACATATTTGGCACCAATATTTTAGCATAGAAACATAAAAATACAACTTGCAATACAACGTTGTTAGTAATATGGAGGTAATACTTGGATTTTGGCACATTACAAGAACACCCAAGGTTTTTTTTAAAAGTTCATCCCGTTCGTTACATGCTCCGCCTTCGTGGAAAAGTTACGAATATAAACCCCCCCCCCCACACTTATAGCATGAATTCCTCAACATTAAAATGGTCTTTCTTTAATAATAAATAAAAACAAACATTAGCTCACGACGTAGCTGCGAACAGGGCGACCGACTAGAGACTTCTCCATGTTAGTGATGTCCAGTGATGCTCAATGAGAAGGAAAAGCTCCAGTTTTTCCTTGAAAAGTTAAAAAAATTGTTCGCCATGATGAGTAATGTAAACAAATAAGTCGAGTGTGACTTCTGTAAACCCTTAAAGCCGAGGTGTCATCAAAAATCTAACAGACGTAATCATATATTGCACTCTAGAAGGAATCATAAGTCCTTATACTGCACGGCGGGGGGGTCGTCCTGGCCTGTTCAAACCATCTTGACAAAGAAAAAGTTGGTATATAGATATAGAATTAATAAGGTATTCAGTAATACTATGTTTATTATAACATCTTGTGTATATTAACATTGATATATAGATTATTTCAACATTATGATATGAAAGATACATATTTATAAATTGCTATGAATATAGGCGGGTGCCTCTGTTGAACAGACGCAGCGCCAGTTATAACATAATAACTATTCTATGATTACGTTTTCATCCAAACGAATACAAATAAATGCTTTTTCACACGTGGCTCACGGAGTAAACCGATGTGAAACTCCATAGCGAGTGTGGATTGAAGCCTCCCATGCACAGAGAGGTTTCAACACAGGTCGAGACTGGTTTTTCAAAACAGGCCAACGTGAACCGTTTAAAAAAAAAAAACCTCAGCATGCATGCTAAGTAAAGTACAACAGCGATCTCTGGTGGACACGTAGAAAAACTACTCTAAAAAGCAGACATAATGTAGATTTGTGTGGTGAGAGCACATTAAAACACCAATCTGCAATAAATAATGTCAATAATGGCCGACAACGAACAATCTCTAGTATCTTATTTCAGCCTTTCAACCTCAACATTTACCTCATGTATATTTGCACCAACATATATATATATAAATATATATATGTTAGATTCACATCAGTATTCTATCTTAGAGCAGCAGAAACACATATGCACTGTATACTGTATGGACAGAAAACAAGGAACAAACAATTCCTTTCGTTTCGTGGAATCTGTGTAAACCTCAATCTGTGGTGGGGCACAGCACTATGTGTTGAGATGTGAGCTAGTGAGCATATAACTCCAGCTATGTATGTTTGTCAGAGACAATGTAAGGTTTTTGTTTTGATTTTATGCTTCAGGCTTGAACTGGCAAGCTGCCCTGACTCCTTGGTAACTCCACTGTATCTTCCACAGATGTACCAAACCACCAATCAGAACCACCGACCCCTTAATAGGAAACAAATACGCAAACACTAACTTTTTTTTTTTTTTTTACACGTAGATAGCCTGGTTCCAAAGACATGCAGGCAATGTCCACCATCACAGATGGCTAATTCACTAACAAGTTTCAAACAACAAACGAGGAAACCTTCATGTCGAAAAATAAGGAGCAATTTCATACTCAAAGAAACGCCTGGCGGCATGCGCGAAAGGAAAAAGGCAAAAAGGAAAAATGCCTGTAATCTTATTCATAACATAACTCCACGTTTGTCTATGCAAATTCACTCGACACTGGAATTGAGAAGCTCACAATATCCACAATCTGCAGGTTAAAATGAAAAGAAGAAACTGCATCAAAGCCATGCTCTAACTCTATTATAAGTCTACTGCTTTCTACAGCGACATCCGAATGATCACATCAACTATCTGTAATCTACAATCCTCTTCTAACGCCCCTCCTCCCCGAGTCTTCAAACGTACTGCAGGAGATATAAATTAAAGATGATATTCACTCTTTTCACTCAACGCCTGTGCTGACCACGCTGCAACGGCGTTGCTGCGTTGTCTGAAACGATGTCAAAGAAAAAAGGTTTTGCACCCACAAAAATGTACAGCGATGACGGTGGTTTCTCGCATGAAGACAGACCACCGGATATGGCGATGCCGGCGCCGCCTGGACGCAGCAAACTGCGGCCGCACGCAGCAGACAGTCTCCCTAAAGCTCAAGGGGGACATTAAGATGCCCGAACAGCGAACCACTATTGAGCCGAAATAAAGCCTTAATGGTCGCAAGAGCTGCCTGGTTTCGCCCCAAAACTGTACCAACCGCCCCCCTCCCACAGCGCGGAGGTCGCCTAGAGGCCGGTGAGGTCCACGATCGCCTTGATGAAGATGGTGTCGTCGCGGATGTAAGAGTTCTTGGCATCGAGCTTGGAGAGCGGGCAGAAGAGCGGACAGCCGCTGGCGATGTTCATCTCGCTCACGGGTCGCTGGAAGGAAGAGGAAGTGACGTCCGGTCGGAAGGCGTCGATGATGTGCTCACGGTTGCTCTGGTCCAGCAGCATCAGAGTCACCTGGATGTGAGACGGGAGAGGGAGAGAGATTATGTTTACAGGTTTATTGTGTTTGCTTGATAAATAAAAGCTTTCCTGGTAGATTAGTTTGTAACAAAAACAAAAGATCCCTCAAAACGGTCCAGAATCCATTATATATCTGTTAAGTTTTTAAAGGAATCTGCCTCTCCAACTGGACTTCCTGGATGGTATTTCGTGTCTCACCAACACCTTAAACAAGTGGCTTTCAGTGTCTGAGACTGTGGGCCTGCCCTAAGACAAAGCTTGGAAAAAGGCGCCCCCTCACTAGGGTTGGGCGATCGTAGTTGCAGCTGGGAGAAGAGCTAAGTGCAACCAGCTCTTAACAGCTTTAATAATGAAAATAAACTCACTAAATGTCAAGAAAGGAAAAGAAAAACACCTGCATTAAACATAAAATGCCCCCGACCTCCATGCAGTGTCCTTCTTATTTGGAGCCTCCGTGAATCACCTTGTAACTGTACTTCCTGTCTTCACACTAGTCAAAATAAACCCTTAATTCACCGCAGTTAGATGGAAACTGGCTCTCACTCTCATTCTTTGGAGGCAGAACATTAAATTAGCAAAACATTATATATATATATATATAATAAATATGAATGACAACTGATATATTCGTCCAACCCGACCCATAATGGCCTAACATAATATAATACTGTATGTGAGGAAACATTAAACAGCTGGATGTTGTCAGCTCAACAGAAACATTAGTGATTTACTACCTCATGAAAAATACATGTTAACAGATAGAAAAGTAATAAAAGGACTTCTTGGTTAAGTATTACTGTCTGCTTCAGTCATACTGCGCTGGACATAAGCAATTAAAAGTATGTAAAGATACATATTCAAGCAGGAAGCCAAAGTAAAAACATGAAAAATAAAAGGTTGCATGAGCCCAAAGACGCAACTTTCATCATATTTTCTTTTATGTTATTGGTGCAAAGCCTCAGTATGGTCCCTCAGTAAATAAGAATAAACACAATTTGACTGTTTAGAGCCTAAAAAGGAGCCACAATCTGATCATAAACACCCCCCTTTTTGTCTTTTACCTTCTGGTTGAAAGGCCATTTGAGCAGAGCGTCACTCAGTCCTCTCATCACCACAAAGAACAGGGACAAGTGGCTGCCACGCCCTGTCCCATCTCCGTTCAGGTAGATCCGCAGACACATCTTATAGCCGTACTTACTGGTGTAGAAGGCTGAAAGCAAAGAGAGATTCAGTCGGTAATACCGAGTCTAACTGGAGTTGGGTGCAATATCAATATTTCTAAGCACGAGCTGCATGTTGGATTTGGATTGGATCCCAAATTCTGCAGTAATAGACAACGTTACCTGGTGAAAACATGGCAGGGGCTCGACCTGCAATGGCATCTTGTCTCTTTTTGGCAAAATCAGAGATCCTCCAGACAAAGACGCCATCAAAGGTAGTGGCGGACATTTCCCTCAGCCGGCCCTCCATCTCAGCAACAGTGAGGTCCTTCAGCCCCACGGTCCTCTCCAGCTGTCGCACCTGGAAGTAAACACGAATTAGGGGAGGATATACGTATTGTTATCTACAGAATAAGTTGGATTGCTACCAGTCTGCATGTTAGTTGTACTATTATATGTTTTAGGACAGTCAACACGGGCCAAAAATATGTCTATAAATGGATTCAGGAGATTGTCAAGAACCATATTGATGAACGTTAATAATGTCAAAGAAATATATTGATAATGCAACACGAATAAAGTTAATATTAATGGATTTTGTCACAGTTTTTGGACTGTTACGTTTTGGAACTACATTTCCCATAATGCTTTGGTGGCTGTAAACAGGAAGTATAGAAGTACCATTAAAAGTATGCACAATTAACTTCCAGCTGTTCCTGTTTGCTATGCACTCATGGATGTTCAGACAATCACTGGATCACTTTAACACTGAAGAAAACTTAAAAAACGTGATGATTCTTAAGTAAGTTCTGCAGTTATAAGGATTTTTTTCTTAACTTTCTAAGCATATTTATGGAAATTTACTCGTGATGGACATCCAAGATAAATATATGAAGAAGTGTAAGTTACAGAGAATCTAAAAATGCGTGTATCATGTCTGTGAGTTTACATTTGACTGACCTTATTAGTCAGAGCCTCGATCTTATCCTGGTCCAGTTTGTGCTGACGGTTGCTGGCTTCCATGGTGGTGGCAAACCTCTCCACCTCTCGGTTCAGGACGCACACCACATTTTCAAACGTGCCGGCTTTGACTTCGAGTTCCGTACACCTGCGACCGAGCTCGGCCACCTTCGTCTTCTCGCTGTGAAGTTGAAGCTCCAGCGCCGCCCCCACCGAGCTGGGCAGGGGCGTGAAGGAGGTGGACACGGACAGAGTGGGAGCCAGAGTGGGCGGCGGAGGGAGCGGAGCTGAAGCGGGTGGACCAGGAGGACCGGAGCTGGAGGATGAGGAGGAGGCGGCGGCGGCGGCGGCGGTGAGAGGCGGCAGCGGCATGATGGAAGCACCGGACAGGACTTGTCTGGACTTTACGAAGGACATCAGCGTCGGGACCTTCTTGAACGTGAGCAGTCGGGGCACGTCGGGGCTGCTCACCGTGCACATTAAGCCGCTGCGCAAGAGCGAGCTGCGGAAGGAGTACGCGCTGTGCACGCCGAGCGCGGAGGGCGGCGGGTGGCTGCTGCTGGGGGACAGTGATGGCAGGTTGCTGGTGGTGGAGGAGAAGAAGTCCCTGCTGCCCATGTGGCTGC